GAAGAAAGGTTTATGAGTCCGGATGACTTAGATAGGGAACTTTTTAAAAACGGTCTCGGAATATATGAAATGCCAGCAGATGAGGTACCAAGAAACTCCACAGGAAGAAGTTCAGATACAACCAGACATGGAAGAAATAGTTCAGCAACAACAGCTAGAAGAGCCTGAAGGAAACGAACAAGTCCCTCCTTTGGAAACTAACTTCACAGAACTAGATGAAGATTTGGAACAGCCGAAAAATCTTGACCCTCAACAAGAGTATGCGGAGAATATGGAATCTTTCCAAGAGGTCTAAAAAATTCAGCTGACATAGTAGAAGAATATCGAAAAATGTTCGCCGACATACAAAAGACTCCAACATCAGATGAAAATATTCAGCATAGAATGGAAGTACTGAAAGAAAATGTACGCAAATACAACAATCCTTTTTACTTACGACCATATAACGTTCAATCTTTGGCTGAACTCGGTGAAAATAAAAGGTTAAATTTCAACAAAAAACATATAGAAATGAAACATTGTTTAAAGTTCATTCAGAACCTAACCAATATGGAAACAAACCTACTTTTGTTTCTGCAGACTATGGAACTACAATGAGATGGGGTCATAAAGCTAATCCGGATAGGTGGTTCATAAACTTACAACCACAATTCCAAGAAGTTGTAGACGCAATGGAAGTGATGGTGAACAGATATAGCTGTTATTTTCAGCGCGGCTTTAATGCCATTGAAAGATATGAAACATGCAGATATTTTGGACCAGTATGAAATGAACATGGCTGATGGAAATATAACACCTGACGTTCTAGAACATTTATCTCAAAGAACTACACAGAACCATAGAGATGGTATATTTGGTGAAGAGTTTAGAAAGAAAGTTAGGGAGATAGAAGAAGAGAAAGAAACTATTGTACATGACCTTGCAAACGAAAGTTTACAAAATGTCATAAAAACTTACTTTGCAGAACAATGAACCGAGAAGGGATGAATATTTAAGAAAACTCAAATGGGACAGTACCAAATGAAATGTTAGTATTGAAAAACATGTTCCTTGACAAAATAAAACCAACTACAGAAATAAATGACGCAAGACTGAAACATTGGGTAAAAGCTTTCCCATTCACAAAAGATATTATTGGTAACATGGAAAGAAAACCAGAATGGCTACAAAAACATATATTTGGAAACGAGCTTATTCCATATGGGCAAGCTCTGTTTGAAAGAGCTTGAACCGGAAACTCAGGAAAGAGTCATGCAAACAATACGCGAAGACTCAAATACAAACTATGACAAAATCTTTCTAGGATATTGGTTACCTGAGATGGGCGACCAGAGCCCAAAGGCAAAAAGGACACGTGAAATTTACAACATACTAGGTGAACATGAGGCAAAGATGCAACAACTTGAAGCAGAGGGCAAGTTACCAAAAGCGACACCAAAGAAGAAGAGTAGAACAAAGTAAAGCTTGGTACGAGTGGGTTCTATTATGATATATAAATCCAACTATTCTATATTTTTACCCATATGAAATGTACGCCGCTCAGAATATAACGCCAACAGTTTTGGATGCCATGAACGGAAATGTTTCCGAATGGTATAACGAATGCGACAATGCCATTAGAAGGTCAGAAATAGTTCCTGGAACTTACGAATATACAACTGCTGTTTCTATGGAAACGTAGGTGAGTTTGAGAGAAGGTTCTTCAACAACAGTAGATATTGCTTGCGACAGGTTTCATATTATTCTATTGACAACTCATTTCTTATACGTGGAACAAGACATTGAAATAAAACCTTCTGCCAAGTTGTCTGACAAGAAAGGTTGCAATGGAATTTTCTATGTCGGATACCAATATGCTCCAGAAGTTTTCATGGGATATAAGATATATTCTAACTCTGACTTAGTTCAAACAGTAACATGGGCAAACTATGAATGGTTCGCTTTGAGAAACTCAGTACAACACAAGCTAGAGAACAAACAGACCAGTATGCAAATATTGAGAAAATAAGAAGACTTGACCCTAACGTTCCAGGAGTTTATGTTAACCTTTCTGGTTCAGATGGAACTGCTGCCACTAAAGTAAAACTGAAACTTAGAGTTCCTTTGTCATCTTTCCTCATCTTCAGGTTTTTAAGATACTTGCCAAACTGGGCAGGAAAAATTTCTATTGAACTTACTCCAAGCAAAAATAACTTAGTCATTGCACCAAACAAAGACCCATTCAGCATTACTGTAGCTGGAACTGGTGGAGCCAAGTTCTGTGACTTTTGCAAAGACAAGTTGACTTAGACTTTGGTTTCTCAAACTTCAACAATGAAAAACTATTATTTCAATGCTGCTGGAACTGCTTGGGACCCAGTTAAGTTCACATGCGAAAAATTTGAATGCAAGAGAATAGAAAGCAGACTTGCAGTCTATATGTTGGACCCAGATATTTCAAATGCTTTAGCTGCCAAATATATTGCAGTTCCACTTATGTTCCCTATACACCAAATATCTGTCAAAGACTTTGCAGGTGAAGTTGGAAACCAAAGTGCTGACCCAGGTGCAAGAACAGATATTGCTTTAACAACTGCAATGAAACATGCAGATACTATGTTGTACTGTTCAGACGAACTATAAATGACTATTCTTGTTTCTACAACCTGGTATTAAATATCATATAAACATAGATGGCAAATATTATCCAAGAGAAGAATATTCTACAGTTGAGGATATGAGGTCATACAACTTGACATTAGATGCTATGAACTTTAACAACAAACTTCACAACAACCATTAACCCTGAAATGCAAAGTTCTATTATGCCATATGTGAAAGTATGGACTCATACAGGAGGTCAAAAAACTCAATATACAAATGGAGACCGTTCAAACTTTTGGCTTGGCATTCCATTTGCTGACTCAGAAGACTTTATGGGTGGTATTTCAACTGTTGGTACTGTACAAATACAATATACTGGTGACAGAGACGGTCCAGATGAATTGAGAGCAAAGAAGTTTACAAAAACCAATAGCACTTTTCACGGAAGATGCTCTTTTGAAGATTCGTTCGATGAAACCTGCTGGGGCTCCTCAGATTGGCATATAACGACAGCTTCCATCGAGCAGATTTGGCAGCAGGTCAGTAAGTTGTTCTTGAACTGACTTCTCTCCGTCAAATATTGACAGTACGCCAGTTTTGACATAATATTGTAAGATAAACTTACCTTTAGAAATATCTGTAAGTTTTGAAGTTATATTTTTGTCTGCTTCAAGAACTTTCACCATCTCGTTATACCAACTTTCTTTGCTTTATGAAAATATTTAGGTTCAGCAAAGACTGCTATTCTATAACATTTACCATTGTTTGTGTAAAGAACTATTCTGTCAATGTATTTGTATTGTTTGTGTGTGTAAACTTTGTTTGCTTCAATTCAAAGAGATATCCGAATACGTCCATCTTTTTATTCTAAGTAAAATGTCATTTCCGAAAAATAGAAGCGTGAGTGTTCAAAAGGTTTAATGGCGGTGGCAGATGTGAAGTTAAATTCACCAACTCAAACAAACAGTCAAAGTGTTGTTGTCAATGTCAAAGACAGAGATGTTGAAGTGGGGAAACCATACGAAGACGAAGATGGTATAACAATTGTTCCTGTAAAAGAACAACCAACATATCCTGAAGTTAGCAGAGACTTAAGTTCTGTTGCAGATATTCGAAACGACTACCAACAACTGAAAGACAAACTTCAAACTCAGGAGAAGATTTGTCAAGCTTTAAGTATAATGTTAAACTTGGTCGAACACAACCCTGTAAAAGTGAACTCATATGTCATTGCACCTCATGAAGTTTTGAAAGAACTATTGAAACTTTTGACAGAGGCAGACGATATAAACATCAAAGAAATAGAACCCGACATTAGTTGCTGTGGTGTTTCATATAATGTCATTGACAAGATATACGTTATGAAAGGAGGTGAAACGTTGAACTTAAAGTATAGTTTCCCAGACGTCATAAAAATATTTGACGACCACAACATTTCATTAAAATTTATTTGCTAAGTAAAAATGTCAAAACTTCTTGAAAGATGTTTGAAGAAAAATAATATAGACTTTATTTCATGTAAAGGACTTTACACACTTTTGAACGATATGAAAGACCCTGTTTTGTTTGTTCGTGTACAAAGGAAAGTTCTATGTCTTTACAAAATATTTGAACTTCTTAGACAGAGAACTTCAAGAAACGCCATGTGAAAGTTTAGATGAAGTTCTTCTCCACTTTCAGAAAAACTTTTAAATATATATAAATGGCAGAAGATATAATGGTTTATACTATTACGACTAAAAACCCTGAGTCATATAATTCTATAACAACAAACTTACAAAGTCCTCAAGGACGGTATTGTAAACTAACTTTAAACACAATGACGACTAAAGCCTGTTTTGCTCTTTTGACACCAGAAGATTCATTGTTGTGAATGGTAAAAAATACTCCTTTGAAGATACTTACTCAGATATACCACCAACAGGTTTTGTTGACTTATTTAATACTTTAAGTACGGTGTAACATGTGCTGCAACTAGAGCAGGTTTCATTATGTTTGGATGTCCGACTGAGTTTACTATAAACGATATGAGCTATAATACAAAACTTATTTCTGGTTTTTACTACCAACAGTTTCCTATAACAGGAAAAGGTGTCATACAAGGTTTGTCTGTTCCATTGACTTTAAGTACACCTATTTTATATATTGTTTCAAACTTAGGTTCAAAGTGTTATTCGAATGTCGACAGAAACTATTATGACCAAAAAATACTTATGCGTATAAACAATACTTTCTCTGCTGGTTTGCCTATTGTTCATTCGAATGCAGAATTTTCAACCTTAGTGAACTCAAACACTTTGGCAAGTATAACGTTGACATTAGTTGACGCAAACTTTGTTCCTGTAAAACTTTTATGTCCTATGTATTTGTCAATGACGGCAGAAAGTTTCGAATTGGAAGATGCAACCGGTGAAAGTATTGTATTACAAGAACAACTTCAACAACAAATAGCTCAAGAACAACAAATGCAACAACAAAGTCAAGAATAAAAAAAATATTTTTTTTATTTTTATAAAAATGTACAGAATAGATGTTTCAGATTTTTATGACTTCCAAGCATTCAGAAATATGTGTCCATTTCGAGACTATAACAAAGCAGTCGAGAATTTGAAACGTTTAGTCATTTATGTCGACTCTGCCCCAGAATGTTATGTTATGAAAGAATGGGATGTTGTCTTTAACAAACCAAGAGCAACAATAGTGTCTGAACAAGAATGTAGACAGAAACTTAAGAAAATAAAAGTCGTACAAGTTGGCATGAAGATGTTAGATGCTTGGGATATCTTATTGTCAAAGTTAGAAGATTTTTCAGTTCGAGGTATAAAGTTCTATACACCTTCTCCAAACTTCTATTCTATCTTCACTGGATATAAATATGAACAAGTAGAATGGAAAGAAAATATTATAGAAGCTTGGTTAGACCATGTCAAAGAAATTATATGCAATGGAAACGAAAGAGTCTATGAGTATATCTTATGTTGGTTTGCAAACATCTTACAACATCCAAGTGCTAAAAATGAAACTGCTCTCATTATAATTGGAAAACAAGGAACTGGTAAGAACACATTCTTTACAGATATCTTATGCAAACTGTTAGAGGGCTATTCGAACCCGAATATGACAAACTTAGAAAACATCTGTGGCAAGTTTAACTCCTCAATAGAGAATATGAAACTTATAGTTTGCAAATGAACTTCAAAGTATAGATACAACAAAAGTTTTGAACTCAGATGCTTTGAAGAGTCTTATAACAGACAAAGTTGGTTGTGTTGAAAGAAATATAAAGACCAAAGAGTTTGTGAAAATGTTGCAAACTTCATTATGTTTCAAACAATACTGTTCCATGAAGTTAGAAAGTTCTGACAGAAGATATGTAGTTGTCAGAACGTCAGATTCTCATATGCAAGATACAGAATATTTTGACGACTTAGCAGAAACTTTGACATCTGACTTTTACAACCACTTGTTCTCATATTTTATGACATTAGATATTTCAAGTTCAATCCAAGACAAATTCCACATACCGAAGAGAGACAAACATTGTTAGAAGCAAACAAGAGTGTATATGAACTGTTCATAGATGAAACTGACTTTGAGTGTTTAGATGAAAGGTCATTGTACGATTCGTATAAACAATATTGTCAAGAATATGGTTATATGACAGCGTCTAAACGAACATTCTTGGCAAATGTCAAAAGTCTTTTAGATGTTCAGAATGGTGTATATACAAAAAAAAATTTTTATGAGTAAATTTAAAAAAAAAATAATTTTTTATCCGATAGAAAAGATGGCAAAATTCATCTCAGTAAACAAGTACATGTCAGGACTTAAAGAAGAACTAGACCCATTCACATATTTGAATGTTTACTTCTACCATTTTGAAAAGTCTTCATTCAGCAAAGTTTGGAACATCGAACCAGTTAAGTTTGCTATTGTGACTAAAAATGGTGCGAAATTTGAAGACTTAGACATAGAAGGTTTGTTAGCAGTCAAAGAAAGTTTTGACAGAAGGTTCTCAAACCTTAAAGAAGGCAAAGCATACAAACTTGTTATACCTTATGAACCAAAGAAAGCAGACGACTATGAATATTATGAGTCTAAGATAGTTGAAGTTCAAGGTAAATTGGGTAAAAAGATTTTAGAGTCTAAGCCAGTGTTTGCTCCTAAAGAGGAAGAGAACATTGACATTGACCCAGAAATGTTCTAAAAATAAAATTTTATTTTTACATGTCAAATTTCTTTTTCTCTGGAACTGGTTCAGGTTCTTTCTTCTCTTCTACTTTCTTCTCTTCTTTTACTTTCTTTTCTTTCTTTTCTCTCTTCTTCTTTTCTGGTGGAGTTATGTCAAATTTCTCCGAACCATATTTATGTAAAAGTTCTTTGTCCTTTAATAGCTCATCTATTCTGTTTTCTATTTCATCTTCAAGAACAGCGCATGTGTCTTCTTTGCATTCTAAGAACTTTTGTTGGACTTCATCTTTCCAATCGGCGTCATCTCTGTCAACAAGTCTGTCATTGACAAATTTTAAGACTGCTCTTTGTAATGTTTTATGGTTCTTGTCATATTCCAGAACAGAACTTTAGAACAAATTCACCTTTCTTGTTTACACTATGTTAAGATTTTATGGTCGACAGATGTTTTGCTGTCGAAAAGCTTGTCTCGAATATAGATAGCGAAATCGCTAGACATTTTCTAAAAGATAAAAATTTTAATTTTTCTAAAAATATGTTAGAAAAAAAGTTTGCTGACATTGACAAGAAATTTGAGAGAATGTTTTAAATAAGAACAAGAGAAAGTTAGAAATGCTCAGATAAAGCCTATACATGACAAGTTCTTATTTGCTCAGAATGGTATAACAGGTCTAATTGCACCACCTGGGTCGGGTAAGACTTTCACTTATCTTAAAATGGCTGCACAACAACAAGAACTAGATGAGAAAGAACCCATTCTATGAGTTAGTTGTCATTTGTAGTACTTCTGGTCAATTTGGACCAAACCGTCATTCGTTCAAAGATATTATAAGAAGTCTAAGTTAGTATGTATAAGGATACTGAGTTGTTAGATTGGATAAAGAAGTACCAAAGAAGAGTTTTGAAGTACAATGCTATAAATGAGTATATAAATTCTAAGTTTAAAGACCCAAATGAGGAAATGCAGAGAATATTGAGAAGAACACTTCAGAAACAAACAGAAAGAGATAGAAATACATTTCGAAGAAATTGCAATCGTACGATTGGAAGACATACCCTCATAGATGTCTTCTTATCTTAGATGATTTCGCCTCTCCTTTGTTAAAGAACAGAGAAACAGATATGTGTCGAATTCTTAAGAAGCTCAGACACTTTAACATCTCAGTTGTCATTTGTGTACAGACAGCAAAGAGTTTAAGTAAGGATGTTAAAAGAATACTTACTGACATTATACTTTTCCCCGGATTGTCCGAAGACGATTTCATGGAACTTATGAAAAGAGTCCATGGCAGGTAAGTTTGACAGACATGAACTATGGGGAGAAGTACAAAGTCATACAAGACCCTCATACTTCTTTCAGAATTCATATCTACGCAAACAAAGTTCAAATTGTAAAAAGTCAAGCTTGAAAAATGTAAGTGTTTAGTCTTAGAAGTCTGTTGTGGTGCTGGGGCTGTCGGTTCTTCTGGCTTTGGAAGGCATTCAGGAAGAGGGACGTGAGACATTCGTTTGTGTCCTGTCGGAAGGAAGAACTTTTCCTGTTGTCGGGAAAAACTTTCCTGTCGGAAGGAAAATTTTTTCTGTTGGAAGGAAAAACTTTTCCTGAAGTTCGACCAAAAGTTCTCAATTTTCGAAAATTTGAATGGTTTACGGACGGACAACTGGAAAATTTTTTCTTGTCGTCGGGAAAAATTTTTTCTGTCGGAAGGAAGAACTTTTCTTGTCGTCGGGAAAATTTTTTCCTGTCGGAAGGAAGGACTCGGAATGCCAGAAGGATTTGACGAGGCAATTTACTTTATAGAGCTACCTGAGCCATCTGAAGTCAAGCTTGAAAAATAAATGGTTCATCTACTCTACTTGTTTGAAGTTGTCAAAATACTCTGTTATTTTTTCCTTTAACAATGGCAAATCTTCTTTGAATGTAAGTATTGTACAACCTTTCATATCATAGTGTGTTTGAGGTAACGTATCTTGAACTATTTGTTTCACATCTTCATTTGGGGTCATTGAAATCGGTAAGTTTTCGCGATAGAACCAATTTCTGTCAGATTTGTAAATCTTAGCAAGGTCGTAAAAGCTTTTGTTGTTTCTTCTGACTAAATGCAACATAACCATATCTTTATCTTCTTCATTTTTCATCTCTTCAGTATAAATCATATACTTATAGTTCTTTTCCTTTCCTTTTGGTACGAACGTGGTATTCTTTTCTGAATGTTTTTGTCTTTTGCTTCAATGACTTCATCTTTTGCTTGAAGTTTCTTTTCCATCTCTTCACGTTCTTGTCTATGAATTTCGTCAAGAAGTCTGTAAACATGCCATGCATAACGAGGAGAAGCCCACATTGCAACTGCATTTACTAAAAGTCTATGTACATAATATCCTCTTAAATTTATTGGCAAATTTTTACGATTTTCATGTGTTTTATGCATGGCCGAAAAAAGTCGGTCTAGAGAAATTTCACTCAAAAGTTCTTGTGTGCTTTGGTTTTTGAACCAGTCGTCTGCGTGTTTAGTGTCTGGAGCAAAACAAGCCGTCAAAATACTTTGCATCTGGTACATATCGTCTTTGACCGAACGAATGAGACGGAGTTGTTTGTTAAACTGAACCCACTCATATTCTTCATTTATAGCTTCATGGACTATAACTGTTGTTGTGTTCTCTGTTGTTGACATATCTGTCTTTACATACAAAATAAAAAAAATATTTTATAAAAAATTAGCGTTATTTTTTCTATCTTTCACAAAAGACAAAAATAAACGCTTTACATGTATTTTTCAGCAACTTCGTCAAATAATTTTATAGCTTTATCTATCTCATCTACTTCAAACGTTTTCTTTACCTTTTATGGGAGCACCATACATTTTCTCAAACTTTTCGAGTAGTTCTGTTTCTGCAGCTCTCATATCGTTAACGAACACAACCTTGACTCTATTGACTGTACTGTCATATCTTTGAGTATATATATATGTTCTTCCTATCTTATATCTCTTTGTATTGAAGTCCTTCGGTTTCTGAACGATATAAAGTAAGCCTTCACTGCAACGTTCCGTATCGAATGAACCATAAGTTATGAAGTTATATCCAACAACTGGGTCTAACCATAACAAAACTATTGGTATAAGACTTTTGTCTATAAGATATGCTGTAGTTCCATAGAATCTTACCGATATCATAAGCTCAGGATTTCTTGTCAAAATTTTCTGAGTTGAAGCATTTCTAACCCAGTCGTTTGTTTTCTTTCCAGATGGAGATATAATGTCTGACAAAGAATATTTGTTGTATTTCTTTGAGTATCTTACGTTTTAAATCACCTATTCTAACCAATTTAGTGTTATTGTCTATCTTTTAACTGTTTTCAAACTCAGTGTTTGTCATATATGTTCTTACATACAAAATAAAAAAAATATTTTATAAAAAACTAACTTTATTTTTTCTGTCTTAAGGAAATTCATGATTTTCATAGAGTTTTGGCGACTACGTTTTCTTACGTACTCGCTGTTCTTCATGATTTTCATAGAGTTTTGGCGACCCCGAAGGAAGTCGGTCTCGCTGTTCTTCACTGATTTTCATGAGTTTTATGCAAGACCGAAAAAAAACGGTCTAGAGAATTTTCACGATTTTCATAGAGTTTTGGCGACTACGTTTTCTTACGTACTCGCTGTTCTTCATGATTTTCATACGGAATCTCTTCTCTCGGTTTTCCTCGGGAAGCAATCTTATGCCATTTTACTCAGATTTTTGTTGCTGAATTCAATAAAAATATAATTTAGGGTAGAAGGTTAGATCTCACCTCTTTTCTCACCTCTTTTCTACCCCAGTTATTTTAAAAGCGTTTTACATGGTAAACGTTATTTTTACATTATGACACGAAGTGAAGGTT